GTGATCTGATGTCATCGAAATAATTCTAAAGTAGTAAATAATAAAGTTGAAGATTTAAGGATCGAATCGCTTGACGGAGCTCGAAGGGTATGAGCACGAGTACCGAAGCCGCAATCATCATCGCCATCACCGTTCGTTGAAACAGCGGCGTACTGCCGCCGCAGCGAAGTCTACAGCCGCTACTCCTGCTGCTCGCAGCGAAACTATCACGTCTACTACATACATAGTTCTATCACTACTACCACCTATAGTCGGAAGCGACGGGAAACGGAATCGCCTCGGAAGGTTCGTTCGTCGGTCCCTACTCTGCTGAGGTCGAGGAATTCAATTCGATCAAAAGAGGAATGTCGGCGGTCTTTAATGTTCGCTTGCTCTCTGGTTCGCTGCCATCGCCGGGTCCCTCACTCGCTCTCTGAACCTAGCAGGCAAGAAAAAAACACAGGCGGACCTCAGAAGCGATCGAAGCGATGGACGGCTCGACGGTCGAACGGACAGAATGAGATGGTAGAACGGGGGCACTGACGGCGGAACGGCCGTTCAGTCGACCAAGCAGTAAGGCAAAACAGGGCGGGCCGGCGACCAGGAGAACAAACACATGGACAGACATCGAAAGAAAATGGGCGCGCCGACGAACTGCACCAATCTCCCTTGTCCTCATTTTTCTCCCCTGCCCCCGCCCCCGAGCGAGCCTGATGAGCGCCTTCATGGCAAATGGATGGCCGCAGGCCCTCCCCCCTTCGCTCGCTTACCCATCCTCCGAGCCTCACGCAGTTCGGAGGGGGGGGTCGCCGGTCGGTCTCAATGTATGGATGTGAGGCTCGCCAACACTCCCGTCGCTCGCTCCGCGCACGATGACGACCCCAGGGAAAAGACCTCAGACAACGACGACGGAGACCGCAACCGATACCACGACGACGGAATGGACGGGAGAGCAAGCCGAAGGAGCAGGAAACGCGCGCGATTCAAAAGTATAGCTCACACCCAGAGCACGAAAAAGATCCAACGTCGATCAACTTTGTTCGAACATCATCGCGGAGTAGTCTATGCACTTGCGGTTTGCGGGAAGTATCTGTCAAAGAATGCGATCGCGAATCCCGCGGGACTCCTTCGAGCTTTGGACGCATATTCTTGGCAGCTCTGAACAATAGAGGTTCAGGATGCCGTGACGCCGACATTCCCCCGTCTTCCTCGACTGCATGAGGAGGGGGAGAGTCTCGGTATAATTAAATTGCGCGGCTCGTAGCAGCCCGGCCATACCTACATGAAGGGTCTCTGTCACCCCTCATCGATTTCTGACTTATCACTCCCATGCTCCCCACTAGTTCCGCGAACTATCGCTTTCGGTATCTGTTTCTCGTTTTCCGTCCATCATGGTATTTTCCTACGAAATTCAGTCACAACCCGCTACGGTTGTCCGATGCTCATGACGGAATTCGGTGGATCACCCTTACGCAATGGACGGAATTTCGTCTTCGAATGAGCGCAGCTTTTGCTCCTGAATGATGCCATCAGCCCACCGTTTCGTATTTCGGCGGCCGGAAAGTGAGGCATCGTGTTCGACAGGCGACACGCTGTTGTTTCCGCAGTACATGAGCTCCCGATTGAGTCGGTCGGCGCCGCCAATGAGGAGGAAAAAAGCTACCATCGGAACGGAACCATGGCCGATGTTCCAAGCAGCTCTGGCTCAGATGTCAGATGAAGCGATGCGATGTGACACGATCTTGATATTGTACATGCCGACGTCTCATCGTGGGACTGCGTCTGATTCCTCTGCGCTCGTTCCGTCAGACCGCGACCTTGACATCCCTCACCGGATGCCATAGGAATCCGACCGGATAGAGAATACCGTTCGGACGAGAGTATCTTATTTAGCTCCGATGCTCTTAAAAAGCTTCCGTACTCACGCTTCCGGGGCAACTCTCTATCCATGGGATCCCATTGTTACTTCGTGCGTCGCGCCGAATCGCCATACCAAAAATGATTCGGCTTTCAATGCGAATCTGAAAATTCCTCTTCTGTCGGAGCATTCCCAGCGGGAATTCGGGGACGCTGCTCCGAAGACTTTCCAGCGGCAGAGCCGATGTCCCGCAGGAACTCGTTGCTGGAACAACACGTGATAAAAGCTCTTGACACCCTGATCCCGAGACAGAAAGAACCTTCCGTCCTCGCACGCGAATGAACATAGATGCGTCTCCCTCGTCCAGCCCGTGCAGATGGCTGGCTCCACGAGGCTCCATATTCTTACTCATGAATGTGCCCGCCCGTCCCGACTCATCCGGTCTCGCAACGTCCCGCGAACTATGATACTTTGGTCATTAAGGGCCCTCTGTGGAATGTTAGTCGCAAAAGACTCTCTGAGCCGCTGTAATATCCGATCTCGACGATCTATATGTCTCGGCTCAACTAGATCCTTACCGTCCAACTCCCATAAAGTATCTAATACCAACTAAACCTTGTTGACACTTCATCGAACACGCCTTCCGCATCTGAACTACCCACGCTGCTGTCCTTAACTCAACTTACCTCCACGAGCTCGACCCAGAGCTGTAGAATTCCGGACGCAAAGCCTAGCGGAAAGAGAATGCTATCTGTACTCATGTTCTGATCATATTGCATTCCGAGCGGATTCCGTCCTAGGCTCTATCGAGGACATCATTGAACCCGTCCCTATTTGGGAGAGCCGTAAGTCAGCATGAAGGTTCTCATCGCATACGCTTCTTGATTGGTTACGGCGTCCCACGCCAGTAGTTTCTTCTCTCTGACGTTCTGAATCGAGGATGTCAGGATGACGACTCGACTCCGGATAAGCTGGCTATCCCCAAACTCCCGCAGGACTCGACTCTGACTCCGAATGAAAAGTCAGGAATCCTCTCTCGCCTAGTTCTTGACTATCCATTGAGACGAACTTTCTTTTTCCAGCTGCACGCTCCCGGAAGAATCCGTCTAAATTCTGACGCTTCCTTTTTCCATAGACGCTCGGAATCCCTTCCGAATTCACGTTCGTGCTTTTGTCTAGACGTTGCTTGTTCCACGGGGCAGGCAGAACGTGAAGCGCATAGCTGGAATGTTCGTCTGCCGGAGCGAAGAACCGAAGACACGAGGCAGGGGGTCTGGGAGAGAGCAGCAGAAAAATGCATCAGTTCAAGAAAAGCATATTTAGTTATTTGTTTCCCTCGCAGCATTACTTTCCTCGGGCGAATATTTATGACGGGTTTCCGCTCGTCGCTCTCGGCTTTCCTTATTCTTCTCCTTCGGCACAGAAAGGCCGGGGGGCCGTCGGAGGAATTCCTGCCAGTTGAAGGAAAAAAGTGAAAAATGAAAAGAATCAACACGACCCCTTTTCTTTCGACAACAATGTCTCTCGGGCTTCTCGAGGGTGGTGGCGGCGGCTTCTCCGCGCTCGTCGTCGCTTCGTCCGCACGTCGGTTTTGTCCCGACTGAATATTTTGTCTGCTGACCAAAACTGCTATGTTTCTGTGTCATTCATGTGTCCGATGCTTACGTCGGAGCGAGCCGAATGTTCCCCACTGCTCGCTTCCATGTGCTATGATGGCGCCGAGACTGCTTGCCCTCAGGACATTGAGAACACTTGTTGTCTCAGACTGAAGATTTACTGTCCGCGCCGCCGTGGCGCTGGCCAGCTCGTTGATCTCGCGGAGAAAAAGGCTCCGCCCTCGCCCTCGGGATCTGGTTGTACTAGTTCGTTTCGCTATCGCCCTGGCATAGGACATGATTTTCTCATACGAGAATCGGGGTGCCTGCATGAAGGCCATTCGAGTTCAGTCCGAGCTCATGTTGGGTGTTTCGATCTTGGGCGTGCAAGACAGAATGCGACACGCTCGGGAAGCCTGCTCCCCGGTTGATCTCTGAGTAGGCTAGCTCTGTCCCACATATCCCAACGAAGTACCGACGGCGGAGCTGGCGCATTCATGGCCCGCGTCTTTTCATACGATTCTCTGAATCAGCAATTCAGACCGCTTGATCTCCGCTCGCACTGATGTTGAATGCATCCTAGAGGACGGGTCAGCCGACTACCCCGTGGAATAAGCCGACGGGAACAGTCGCAAATATTCGTTTCCTATTCCCGAGTGGAGTTCACTCACTTCACGTCTTCGCCATTCAGATGTGTCTTCGTTCCAAATCGTGGTGCGCATACTTTACGGCGCAAGTGCGCCGGAACGAATCGAAGGAAGAATCTGTAGATGAATTTGTCGGGAGCGCAGCTCTGAATGGACCGTCATTCCGGTATAATAAGCTTAGAACTCCATTTGGCTTGGAAGAGCGCCTCTATCTCATTGAGGGCAACCCTGGCCCCTCGCCCCATGTTGGGTGAGGATGGGGGATGGTGCGGCGGGGGCTTGGTTTCCGATCTCGTTCCGCGAAACTCAGAGACTACTCCGGCCTGGGAAACGGCTAGGGCGAGAGGAATTATTGCACGAAGAAAGACAAAGCCGTATAGGGTCCCAAGATGCGATGCGAGTGGAGATGGGAAAAGCGTCGCGAAAAAAAAACGAGGGGACGGAAGCTGTTGAAGAGATGTGCTTGCTCGTAATGGAATTCTAATCCCTGGAGAGTCGCACTCAAGATTAAGGCAAGATGGGCTAGCTGCTATCGTCGAAGGCGACGATCGATAGCCTTGGTCTCGCTTTCCTTCTACGAATTCTCGCTCATTCGCCGTGATGTTCGATTTCTTTGCGTCGGGTATTCGGAAGTCAGGGCACAACTGGTGTCCCAACAAATAGATGCGTAGCGATGCTGCTCAAATTGTCAGAGGTTTTCGTACTCTCACGGATATTCCAGCGCATCGCACTGTCGGAAGAGGGGGATTCGCCTCACTCAGATGCGCCTATGATAGAAAACACCCGACATTCGCGAGCAGCAGAGGTCTACAGCCCCGTGAATGTACTTATTGTGTCACTCCAAGATCGGAGACTTGATCGCGTAGATAAATGACTAGAGCGGAGTAATTCATGAGCGAGAGGTTTGCCTTGTCCTTCCAGAGAACTTTCGACGGAGCCACAGGACGAGTGAATTTCAACGAGAAAGGAATACGCGACGACTTCGTACTCTTCGTGACGGAGTTGGGAACAGATGGGTTAGAAGAGGTCCGATCTAATTTCGATCGTCTAGACTCTAGACTGTACTCTCCAACGATTCCACGCGCCTCGTGCAAGCATGTTCTACCCTTTAGGATGATACGTTCGCAAGCTACAATCTTCCCGGTGCTTCCAGATTGGAATTTGGTCGAAATCTGGCGGTTTGAACATCACAAACGACGAGAACGAATTCGAACTAACCAAAGAGGAGAAAATCAAGATCGACGACATCCATCTCAAGATCGTCACGGTGCTCGTGAGTAAGACGCACATTTCCTGCCAGACAAATGAACCAGGCCTCTCCGTCAGACTGGATTGGCTCATTCGAATAATTAGGAACTCATTCCAGAACAAGCCATGGCTGATGAAAGACGAAAAACACTGGACGGGTGAGCTACTATGGAGTTGTGGTCTTCGCGCATCGGGAAATTGATCGGATCTTCTAGCGAAAATCCATTCGAAAGGTGATCGAGCTATCTTCCCCTCACAGAAGAGCGGCCTCGTTACAAGGGTTTCCTGATTGACATCTTGGAAGACATTCGGAGAAAATCCCCCAAACCGATAGATTACGAGTTATATCTTTCCCCTGACGGCACCTATGGGGTGGAGAAACGCGTCGACAATGACAGTGTTACATGGAGCGGCATGATCGGAGAACTCGTCAACGAGGTGAGCTGAGCTCGCAGCTCTTTCCACTCATTCCCCATGCCTAATCCGGACGATATTCATTGCATCGAATCCGATTAGTGCAAAATTTTTCCGTATATGCAGTACCTCATCACGTTATCATCACGATCCGCTATGCTGCTGCTTCGAATCTCTTCCACGCGAGACCTCGTCTCGGATCGAAGCTGATTTTGATCAGGAGCTCGACTCTTCGACGTATGATTCGTTTTCCCAGCGGAAGCGTCTCAGGGAGACGGTTTTGCGCGGGCTCGAGTCACGGAATTCTGGTTCCGCGAGATTGCCGAGAGTGCAATCAAGAAAATTTGCTCGCAGCTTGAGCTAAGTGAGACGCGTCATAAAGGCCACTCGCCGAGACATCTACTGTGAGATATTGCAGTCTGTTAAGGGAATGGGAGCGAATAGTGCTCCGGCTCTCGGTGCAAGCGAGAGGTAGAAAGCTGCACGTACTTGGCGGGAGATCTCGGGCCGCGACATAAACGACGCGGAGGCGAAGGCAACGGATGACGTTTCAGGTCGAGCCTCCAGGTGGATCACCGGGATTCGCCGAAACATTCTCCTACATGAATCGTAGCGCTGACGCGGAGAATCGGACCACAACTGACTTTCTTCTTTTTGTTCCGTCGTCTTCCCCGAAGCAAAACTCACTCATGGGATCCTGACAAGTAAAGCGAAATCTAACAACGTTTCAGAGAGCAAACGTAGCGCTCGCCGATCTCATCGTTTCGGATGAAAGACTCCGCGCGGTCGATTTCACCCTCCCGTTCATGTCGGCTCAACTGGTGGCTGTGACCCGAGCTCCGGCTGCGCGAAAGCCCGGTGGAGTTTGGTCATTCTTCTTGCCCCTGACCAGGGAGGTGAGCTTTGATGCCCTCGAACTGTGAGGTTCGAGAGTAGAGCCCATGACTGGAATTCATGAAAGCATAAGGGAAGCGATTCACTTGGCGATATTATCCATCCAGGTTTGGGTGTACACTATCGTCGCCGGACTCTTGACTTCACTGGTCATGTATATGTGCGCAAGGTTCTGCCTCTCGGAATATGTCCATGTCCAGAAAGATGGATCTGACGAAGTGGAAAACCAACTAGGGATGAACAACTGTCTCCTATTCGTATTCAGTACGCTGGTGCATCAACGGCTTCATCTGGATCCAAAGTGAGGAAAATTGGTTGTAAGAAGTTATATCCGTGAAGTACCGGATATCACGAACGCCTCGTACAACGAACCTCGCATGTACTGGCGTAGAATAAATCGAATGAAGCGAACCTGGCGTATGATGAATCTCTCGTATAATGAACCTTCCGTGTAGAGAACCCCCTCGAATAACGAATTTCCCTCAAATTCGAGGGGTTTCATAATACGAAGGGCTCGCTATACGGAGGTTTCACATACGGATGATACGTTGTACGGAAGGCTCGTTTCACGCGGGATTCGTAGTACGGAAGGTTCATCACTCGCGGGAATTCCGCGCATGGGGTTCCTTGGAAGCTCTGCCAGGGGTTCCTTATATGCTGTTCCCCGCCCGTAGAAAGCAGCGGTATGTACCAAGAAACTTGAGGCGTCCGAATTTTGTAGAGGGCGGTTCTCTTCGAGGAGGGGAACGGTTGGAGATCCGATTGGAAGGCAACAGCTCCGTGCGGTATTCTGTCAGAGCTTCCGTGGGGAGAAGCTCCAATCTGAGTGGCCGGCTGAACTCGCGATTCCCGGGGACGTTTCGTCCTGGACGCGAGCATAGCGGATGCTCCTGTTGGCGGGGGGGAAGGGGGGAGCACGACCTCATCGGCCCAGTCCGGGGAGCATGACATGCCAGGCCACAGGAGGACCTAGCTCCGGACATACCCGCAAATTAAGGGATTCGCTATTCCTCGCAGCCATTTCGTTAGAGACACCCTCTGACACGAAGCTTGTTTTCTCCATTCCCAGTGCCACCGCAACTCGGGTGCTGGCCGGGGTGTGGTATTTCTTCACTTTCGTCATCCTCGCCATCATCGTGGGAAACCTGTGCGAGAGCGTCCTTTGGGTCGACGAGGATTTTTCGCAATACGAAACAATTCACGGTCTCCTCAAAGCTCGAGACATGCAATTCACTTGCATCAAAGGCGGATCGACGTGCCGCACCCTCGAGGTACGTATATGTTTTTCGGAGGCGCGGGAATGAATCCATAAGAAATCATCTGATGTCCCCCTTCCGGAACACGGTCGGAGTCTCCGAGGAAGTGAATGAATTACGTCAACTATCGACGGAAAGATCGTTCCGAGCTACCAGGCCGGACAGTCGGGAGGTTTGATTGGCGCCAGCGGCCGGCGGTCCCGTTCGTTGATTCCGTATGCAAATCTCATCGTAGTCACAGCAACGAACGTGAGATAGGGTTTTTACTAGAAGACATCGTCGTAATTGAATCGAGAGACGCTCGAAAGACACGCTTGATCTCGGAACTGCTTGAATCGACGTCTTTGATTTCCTCGTCTGACCAGCGAACCCAGTGACCGGGATTCCGGAAAGGGAACGCTTTTCTTATACTGCTCCTTGTAGTTGGCCAAAAAGCGGAGAACATTTTTCTTGAAAAGACGTCGTCGTAGCCGCCGGCGCCATCGTGCCTCCTCGAGGCCTCTTTTTCCCGTTGCGACGTTGGAACGACCCGAAAGAATTCCTCCTTGAGGGAAGTTCCCTGCTGGGCACATCCATCACCAGTTTAAGTGAAATATATGAACAACTGGGTTGACCTGCAGCGCGCTACTTCAGAACTGAGTGCGTCTCCTCTCGCTTTTGTGATATTAGCAGTTTATTAGATGCTTGAAAAAGATCAGCGTACTGCATTCGTAATGGAGACTCTCTGTCGACCCGGGAAGCCTCCTGGGACCCAGGAAAAAAATATCACATTGAGCCTCCATTACAGTCATCTCACGCACCGATCCTCTGGGAGATCAACAAGCGCATGCAGAAATTCGAAACCCCCAGAGTCAGGAACGTTTCACAGGCTTTCGAGAAAATGCAGACCGACGATCATCTGGCTCTGATCATGGAGTATGCATCGGCGAAATTCATCGTTGCTTCGTCGTGCGACCTGATGATGACCAAAGCCTTTTCGAACCATGCTGCGTACGGGATCGGTCTCAGCAAGAGTGAGTTAGTCCGGGAGCTGGAGCTCGACTTCGTTCTGACCGCGGATATTTCCTCAGAATGTCTGACGATTCCGAATGTCCATCTTCCCGGAGCGGAGTCGATGGCGAGAGGCGCTCGGGGAATGAGCGCATCGGTCACGCTATTTTCCTATTGCAGAGAACCCGATCAAAACGAACCGGTTGCTGTCCGAGCTGATCCTGCTCATCCAGGCCAAAGGTCTAATCCAGGAGCGCGAGGAACGGTGGTGGAAAACAAGGAGGTCAGCGGGCGTTTCCGACTTGCGAGTTGGGCTCTGCGAAGTTTCCGCGAATATTCCGTCCCTGGCCCGTGGGCTGAGCTGCTCCGAGCAGAGCGCAAGCTGAAACAGCTCATCTTTCCAGGTTCTGTGATGTTGACAATGATGGAGATTTTGATGACGTCGATGACCTTGGGGAAGATGACTCGAAAGACAAACAAGGCGTGGAGCTGCGAGCGCTGTCTCCCTCGGATTTGTCGGGCGCGTTCATTCTCCTGTTCATGGGTCTTTGTGCAGCATTTCTCATCTGTATTGCCGAGATCATATTCGAACACATCACCAGAGACAGGAGAGATACGGTGAGCTTCGGCTGCAGTCCGACTTCGTGGGAGCCGGAGACCCGGCCAATGCGGAGCTTGTTTTCCTTTGAGGCTTTCAATCAATGTCGGAAAGTAATTCGTTCCTTGAAAATGCCTGAGAGAGACTTTTTTAGCCGATCCGAATCGCATCGGAGAGGAAGCCACGGTGTCCGGCTACGCAGAGCAAACGCTCAAATCATATGCTACAGCAGTTCCTCTCGGCTCCTGTTCCGCCGACGCATATTGGGTGGACCTGGGAATATTGATGGCGTTCGTGACTTGCATTGCTTGCTGTCTCGGTGGAATCTCGGCGTTTTTCTGCTCATATCTGGCATGAGTCATTACAAGAATAGCGGCGGCGGCAGCAAACCCCAGACGGAGCCGTGGCTATGATGCGAAAGGCTTGCGCACTCGTTGACGTTGCCATCGCTGCATTGCTTTCGTCGTCGAGGTCGTCTTCTCCGCCTATGTCGACGTCGGTCGTCTTTGCCGCCAACTGGGGCGAACGAGGCGTCCGCGTCTGAAGCTCTGATAATAATGCACCCCGACTACGGCCCTCACGACTTCGTCAGTTAGAGACAAGGCCCGAGCACGGAACCGAGTCGTTCCAGCGGAGATGGCCGAGTTTCAGCGGAGATGATCAGCGATCCATCTTGATTATGGAGTTTACGTCGACCATTGCTCAAGTCCCTGAAAGCGGATGCGTTCTGTGCGGGCGAGGCAGCCGGCTGTGGTGTCTCGGTATAGGAGCGGCTCTTCGAAAAGGCTCCTCATCATGTGAATTGATTGAGAGATCTTCTGAATGCACCTTTGCTTTCGGGGCAGACATTCTAGTCGCGAATGCCACCTTGAGCCAACCTATTAGGCTTCTCGATCACGAATCCGACCTGTCGCTGTTCCTCCTCGATGAGAGCTCGGTCTTGAAATTATGGTCTGACTGGAGAATATGCTGGGTGGTCAATCAGAAGAAAAACAGCGCTTGAGCCACTATAGAGTCGGGTCGCGACGCGTGCCAGTGAAACTCCTCAGGTGTTACCTCTAGCCCGAGGAAGGGAATGCGACTAGGACCTCCGCTTCCGTGTCAGGAGATTTGCGTTTGTGTCAAGTACCGCTCGGTATCGTGATTCCGATCTCATCGTCCTAATCGACTAAATTCTGTTTACAATTTAACACCCGATATTATTCTGATTCCAGTATTTCAACATGATCACAGTCTTGGATCACGTTCGTTTCGCCTTCAAAATGCAAACCAATCAGATAGACCTCTCGGAAACATCTCTGCCTAAGCATCGTTGGAAGGAGCAACTCCAAAGACGCCGGAGGCAGCGCCAGGATAAGACCGAAAAAGCTGGAACTTCGAAAGGAATTGACTCGCTGAGTTCGGAAACGGCTTGATACCTGTAGGTACGAGAATCCTAATTCATATTTGGAGTTATTGATATGATGATTCTATAAATGATGATTTTTTCCCAAGCCTCTTCCTTCATGTCCACATTTCGATTACCCGCTCAGATATAGCTGGGGAGACATGTGTCGCGATCTGTAGGCAGTATGGTCCCCGCCCCACCCGTAGAACTCCCAGTTTGACGGGGAGTCGTCGTCTTAGAAGAATTTTGTACGCAATCCATACCTCTATATATCTCGTCTTTGATTTGCGAATGGATTTGCGGGATATCATCCCGAGGAGCTTCACTTCTCCGTTTAAAGGATTTGCAGAGAAAAGATCGCGCATGCCTCAGAAGCAGTGGCGTGCTTCCCCCTGGTACCGCCCGGGCCGGTCAACGAAAATTTTCGTTTTTCGGACGCGATCAACCAAAATGCCGCCCCCTGTCCGAATATATATCGCGAAAAATTTCGGAAATTTTCACCAAAATACCCGTTTTTTTAATGTCGATCTCGAAAATGCTGCCCCCCGAAAGCGCCGCCCGGGGCGAACCCCCCCCCGGAGCACGCTACTGCTCAGAAGAGCGGAACCTCCCTCATAAATCAGCGGAGAAACCCCGGTCCCATCGACTCTCTCGAGCCCTATTCGAATCATTTTCGTCATCGATTGCAAACATTGATTGACTCCCTCTAAGGATTCCCGTTGATCAGTTGTATTCCAATTCCGACGCACCGAGGCACCGCGGGGAACTTCGTGTCATATCCCGTGGATTATGAATGCTCATGAGTCATGACTCATGAGATATTGTAGAATTGAGATCCGACTTAGAACACTCCGAACTGGCTCCTATCTTCGACTGGTTTCATTCACGGGCAAGCCGTATATTGCGAACCGTCGCGATCGGAAGATCTGGGATGGCATGGGTCGGCCTGAACGGCGCGTCATGTCGCTGTCCACCCGACACGGGTAGAGAGCTTGCCAGCAGAGAGATCGATAAAGTCTGCCGGAGTGAGTATGCAGGTCGAAGCTTCGATTCCAACCCAGCACAGTAGTTCCCGAGCAAGGTCTGAGATCGCTGCTCGCGCCTCCACCATGCAGCGGTGACCCTTCGTTCAGGAGAGGACGTCGGCCTGGCTACCAATAATTTAATTTCCGTAGACAAAACGGAGTCATGCAGCTGCGCTACGTGAGTACAGACAGCGATCGCACGGACGCGAGCGGCTTGACACCAAACCGAGCTCTCTTCACGCCGCGAGGATAACCGTGTCGTTCGGGAACATTTCCTTTGATCGCGACCTCCCTGATCAATCTATCGCCCATGAGCCATGTGGGGTAGGCTTCTCCGAATCAATCCAGACACTCCTGGAAGCCAGGAGGGATCTTCAGTAGAGTCTTCCCCTGCCAACTTCCAAGGCCTCTACCATGAAGCGGTGACCTTGTATTGCAGGGGAGACCTCGCTCCCAATAATTTATTTCCTCGCAGCTAACAATAGTCATGAATAGAGCTAGGGGGGTCAAGCATTCATAAGCATTGTGAAGAATGTAAGCATTATTAGGCATTCATAAGCGTTTATGAGCCTAAAAAAGCATTTACGATTTTTTTCGAGCATTCTGGGGTATTTCTGAACATTTCTGAGTGTTCTATAGCGCTCCATAAGAATTGATCAAGCATCTGAGGATGTCTCCAGCTTGTGGAAAGCTCCTCCACGTTTCCGTCGACGTTTGGCGCAGGCCTCCTCATGGATGCTCGTCTATCAGAAGAGCTCTACTACGAACGACACCCGAGAGCCTGGGCAGCTCTCATCCTTCAAGTGCGCTCCCTTAGTCAGCGTGGATGTAGAGAGAAGCTTCTCCCGCGAGACAGCACTCCTTTCTAATCGGAGACATTCGCTGACACCCGAAAATGCCAGATATCACCCTTTACCGGTGTGCAATACATGATTTTCGAGCGATTAAAACTTGTAGCTCCAGTCTCACTTTCGGCGGCATCAATCCTTCCGATACGATGATTCTACCGGCTCTCTTAGCTTTTCGACTCCCCAACCCCCCTGTCCGCCTGTGTCTTGGACTGTAGACTGCTAAGTTCATCTTCTGCGCGTTTCCCGCGAACTTCGGGGCTCGAGAGCGGCCAAGGACATCAACGCTTATTGATGCCTACTACTGCGTATAAATGTTCATTTCGTATGCTCATAATGCTTATTTACAATGCGTATGATGCTTATTTCCAATGCGTATGATGCTTATTTCCAATGCTTAGTATTATAAATGCTCGAACTTCCTAGCTCTAGTCATGAACCTGCGCTACATGAGTGAAGGCAGCAATCACATGTGCGCGAGCGGCTTTCCACCGGATCGAGCTTTTTGCGCGCCGGGTCGTGAGAGAAATTTCACGGCGAACAGCAAAGTGGCGGACGTCTCGTGGAGCGGAGAGTAGTGAACCGAGAACCTCGCGATTCGCGATAAGCATGCTCTCGTCATCTGATGAGAGAGGACGAATCGCCCGTCGTCTGCTGCTCCAGTAAACAGAGACTTTCGGTTCGAACGTCACTGCTCTTTGCTTAGGAACAGATGACTTCACGGAGATTGCAGGGTGAGTGATGAGCGTTAGCGGGAAGCCAGAAAAGTTCGCGGATAATTCTTCGAGACTGCCGGTCGGTGGATGGAGGAGGAGATGGACCGGGAATCCCGCAGACTTACTCATTGACCCGACTTCTCCCAGGACCAAGAACCGGAGTTACGGTGGACTCCGTTTGACTTGTCCAAACTCTCGAGTTCCAAGACTCGGTAGGGGGAGACCGTCAAGAAGGAGCCGAAAGCTTTCGAATAGCCTAAACTACTGGTTCGGAGCCGTCTCCCGCGTGCCGTCTCGGAAGCGAATGGATGTAATAATAAAGTACTCCCCTCTCTCTTGACCAATTCTCTAAGTCGTTATCTATTATTGGAGAAGCCTTGCCGGTCATAGCAGACCCGACCGAATTATCAAGATGTTCTACGAGAAGTCATACATATTTTCCGCATCGAAATGCAGGGGGAATCTAGTCTCCACGCTCATCCACGGATTTGTAGACATTTTCATCCATTTCTACGAATATATCATTGCCGTCACAATGATTCGGCTGCGTTGGATACCATCATCGAAGCGCCAACTGCTCGAAGCTGAGAGAAGGGTACTCGCATGTGAGTAGCGTTCAGGAGCTCCCAGAGAATTCGCATAAGGATTTCTTCCTGCTCCTCTCTCGTGTATAACTAAAACCTCACGGTTGGAGGATCAGCGATCTCGATTCCTGTCATCTCATCAGAGGCGGAGGTACCGGTGAATGTCAAGCGGCCTATTGAAATCATTCGCTTATTCCTCAGACGTCGAAAAACCATGTGAAGTTCTGGATGTGGAAATTGGTAGCCTCGGGGACGTGCAAAATTGCAGGATCCACTCAATCAAGGTGAAAGAAATGGAACTCACTCAAGAGCTCGCTTGATTCTCTCCCATGGATTATTATTGGGGGTGATAAGCAGCCTAACAAAATGGAGGGCGGAAGAATGGCTCAGTCCCAGAATCACGGCAGAGAAGTCTCATTCCCACTACTGTGACGCTCACTCTGCCATTCCACCGCGAACAAGCGATGGCGGTCGGACAGAAGCGAAGATCAATGATGTGGGTTTTAAGAACATCGTTCTATCCTCTGAATTCCAGGTTGCTTCGAGCGGCCCAACGGAAAACCTCCCCCTCGTGCTGGTTCCAGGTCTGGGCTGCGGCGGAGTTTTCTTTGTATCCATCCTCAACGCCCTATCAGAGAGACGCGACGTTTACGCGATCGATCTGATCGGGTTCGGCTCGAGTTCGAGAGCCAGGTTGAGCTCCGACGCCAAAACTGCCGAAGAACTGATGGTTGAAGGTGAGTTCGAACCACGCGCGCGAGTGCCCTCGGCCGGACAAGGCTTTGCGGCCTCGGGTGCCCTTCACATTCCGTCCCTATCATGTTATGATGTATGACTCAAATACGTCAAATCTAGCGAAATTTCAGCCGTCGAGAGATGGAGGCGAAAAATGGACTTCGAGCAAATGCTTCTCTTGGGTCATTCGCTCGGTGGCTTCATATCATCAGCTTACGCCTTGAGGTATCCATCAAGAATCAAACATCTGATTCTGGAGGATCCATGGGGTTTCGCCGAATTCGACCCAGAGGAAAGGAGCAAGCTCTCCCTGTACGAGAGATCTTTCCAGAGAATGTTGCTGCACGTAAACGCGTTGGCAGGCCTCCGCGCCTCTGGACCAATCGGCAAGTCAAAACAATGCCCGAAGCCGTACGCAGGATTCTTCTCGGGGAGGAGGGCATCACGAGCGCATCATCCGGGGGGGATATGGGCCTTCTAGCCCACCTCCCTGCGAACGCGCCTGATCATACCATCTACCGAATAATAATGAGATAAGAGGTTATATGATATGATAGGTAATCATATACTCAGTGTGTTGGAGTCTCTTATCGAATCTGACTTTCCTTTCGTCTTCAAGGTCAGTACCTGGTGAGGAGAACAATGAATGAAAGACACCCATACATGAGGAAGTATTTTCCTGACGCTCCCGATACGATGTCGGACTATTTCTTCCACTCCAATGTGAGACGTCCTACGTAAGTCCCAGGCTTCGGTTCTCCTCTACTCAAAGTTGGTCTCTACCATTATCATTATTTTCCCGTTCTCCCCTCAGTCAGCACCAGATAGGGGTAGTCTGATGGCTGCTTGAGCTCCGAAAACTGATAATCATTCCGCGAATCATTCTAGCGGAGAGGAGTTCCTCCGGAAGCTCTGCGAAAACTTCCCCTTCCCGAAATACCCTCTGATAAAGCGCATGCGAGAGCTTTCGGAAGAAGTCGGAGTGACCTTCATCCACGCGACTGGATCATTCATACCTCGGACACCTAGTGAAACGCTTCAACGTCTACGTGGAGAAGATAACACTAAAATTCGCGTGAGTAAAGTGCCCCCGCTAGCTCCACGAGCGAAAGATCGTTAGGCTTGACAATGATGCCCATCCTTTGTCGAGCTTCCGGAACTCATCCCTCATACTTGATAATCGTTTCCGGTCCATCCCAAAGGTAATCGAAGGAGTCGGCCACACAATGCACCTCGAGAAGCCCGACGAATTCAGCGAAATCGTTCTCGACGTTCTTTCCCAGATAGGAGAGAATCGACAATGACAAGGCCACGATCGCGGGATCCTCAATTCTAGTCATAACCGGAACGCATACGTTGGACATCTCGCGACACAATCGGAGTGGGTCTGATGCGGGGTTTGCGTCGGGTCTGAAAATAAAGATTCGATTCTCCTGATTCCAACACCGAACGAAGGACTTATCATCCTTTCGTATGTCCGATTACCGTGCCGTCGGCTTGCCGTTGTATATCCGTCGGCTGGGGAGGAGTATTCCGCAACTTGGTCCCAATTATTTCGACCTTGGGATGAATACGAGATGCAGGTCCGGCGAACCTCTTCGGAGAAACGCCGATGCAAAGGGGCTCGCGGGCCACGCTCTGGCTCCGATGGAAGTCCTGGTCTCCTCAAGGGGGAAGTTCTGCAGAAATGATCTATGGGTGAGCTCCGCACGTATTTCATGGATATCTTCCGGGGTGGGGGCGGCGGATCGGGTCGATCGGACCGGGAGAGAATGACGGAGACATCGTCCCATTATGAGTATGAGTAGAGTAATCGAGTCCTTTCGGCGGTCGATGAAAATGACCTGCGCGATTGATCTCGTTCAATCTGACTGAGCCGAATGGGAGAGGGTTCTCTCGTCGTCTGCTCAAGGAGTAAACTACAACTCAGCTTTCGAATACCCCTTTGTAGAAACAGGTGAAAAAGCTCGAAATTCGCAGGTTGACAAAGGCCCGTCGGTTTGACCAGCAGTGGGATCATCGCGAGACGAGTAAGTGCACATTGCGTCTTGCCGCTCTGCATTTCTAGGGAGAGGAAACTATTCAGCGTCACGCCAGCAGGACACCGCGTCTCTATCGACTGACTGGTTCAGTGGACGGCGACTCACCGACGACTCTCCAGTCTCAATCACACTCATAGTCACTGCGCACAGCGCTCAGCGAACGGATTAGCCTCGCATGACATACGCTTTCTGGTTCGAGGTTCGAGAGAGTTCAAACGCCTCTCCGGAAAGTCTGTGTTCACCGCTCGCGCAATCATTCAATTCTCTCCTCGCGAATCATCGCAGAAAGTGTGAGGGCGCGGGTCAGCGCGCTCCGTCGCTGTTCCCTGAGCTCAAGAGACTTGTTCGGACGTGTTCGAGTCAGCGAAAAGTCTCAGGACCATCCAACATAAGCTTTCGTGTTCAAAGTGCGACCCCCCAATGGTTTCAGAAGGCAACACCGTTTCGACCTTACGCCACTCTTTTCTGGCGTCAAGTTTGCATTTGGTTTCTCTGCCGGTCGAATATTTCCTGGCTCCCATCATGACTTGGTTACGCTGGGTGCCGTCCTCAAAAACTCAACTCGTTGATGCAGAGCGAAGAGTTCTCGCATGTGAGTATCGATTTGAGCTTATGCATATTTCTTCGATAGACCGCTTAGATTCGTGAGTTCGACAATTCGCAAATCAAGTCACCCGAATTTCCACGACGCGGAACGTGAATTCACCGACGTGCTACTTCGCGATTATTCTTCCGTTTCGATTCACGTTCTGGAATTGATCCCTTGACATTCGACGCTGATAGCAGCATGGAATACTTCTCTAATTTGCGGGGAAAACTGTCCGTGTCCGTGTCGGCGTCCACTGCTGACTCTCACAGAAATCAAGGCCGATGGAGAGAAGCGTCTTATGACGTAATGCTTGTTCAGATTATGATTGCTCCGCAATGAGGCTTCGTGGACCTTGACAGCATGAGTGGAAAGATGCATGAGACGGCCCTTCTTTGTTAAGCTCATCGTACGATCTGTCGTATGGTCACTCAATTTAAGTTTCTTCTCCCGTTGGATAATAGGCAGACGCATCCTCCTGGCAGTCCTCAGTCGAGTCAAATACATTCAAGGAAAGTAGAGATCTTAGGCATTCCTCCGAGGATTTCGAAATAGTTTATTCTCCCCCGTTTCCCCAATCGAGGTTCCGCAAGTAGTTTCTGCGCGACCGGCCCATGGAGTCCCTATATAAACAGGAACGCAGAGATCGAAGTTTTGTTTGATCAGTGGATTTCGCTTAATCGAACGACTCCGGCGCATAATTGTCAGAGCGGACGGGCCGCCTTAAGGAGTCAAAATTACTCGTCTTGAACTAGACGGGAACGCCGGGACGCAGTCGGTTCTGCAGGGTGACCGACCCACTCGGTCGTCGTTTAAGCGAGTTCCACTGTATTATCTCGTGTTCTCATAGAGGTATGGAGAGGATTATTCTCTTGAACTTGCGCTTCTCGTCGTCTTCCGGCGGTCTCCACCGTCTGCGTCGGAAACCAACAGACGTAGTCGAAAACTAAAGATATTCTACTCCCCCAGTGCCAGAAAAACCATGTGAAGTTCTGGATGTTGAGATCGGTAGCGTGGGTGATGTTGAAAACTGCAAAATTCACACCATAAAGGTAATGAAACTTATAACCTTCAAGATGAATTCTCAGAGGGCGTTGCTCGGAAGACTTCCGAAGTCGGCTCCACTAGATTCTAGAAAACCTGCAGAGATAGGACAGGAAGCGACCGGAGTATGATTCCGGGCCTGGACTGCGGTTGGTCCTCATGGATCCAATGATTCGGAAAAAAGGTTCCCTCGATCAAACTCCTGTGTCGAACATGCGCATGTGTCAAACTTTTGGCTGGCTGATGTGACAGACCCTAGTGATCGATGACGAGCTTGGAGTAATTGGCAGTGAACGCCAATGGCAAAGAGGAGACTTATCCGTGTGTGGCTGACATTCGGCCGATGCCAGCCGCGAGAACGAGTCAAATCGCTCCATCGGCTGCTGGAGCATAAAGCTTACTCCAGTCTATGTGGTATCGGCACATAAATTTCGGAATCTGCATGATCACGCCAAGTTGATACCAAGCCTTTTGACGAGCTCTATCGTGATCGTCTGTGAGAGAATGATCCTTGTGAGACTCAGCGATTTGACGTATGGTCCATGCGCGAATCGCCTGGTAATCTTTGTCTTTCGCCCCAGGTCAAGTCGAATGAAGAAACTACAAATTCACCCCTCGTCATGATACATGGCTTCGGGTGTGGAGGCGGTATCTTCGCGCCAAACTTGGACGTTCTCTCAGAGAAACGCGATGTCTACACGATCGATATGGTCGGCTTCGGAATGAGCTCACGTGCAAAACTCAGCACAGATGCCATGGAAGCAGAGAAAGAAATGGTCGAATGTGAGTGACTCTCCCCCCAATGGGTAAATTGATGCAATCCGAAGATTCAGAGCGTGTCTTCGTCTCAAAAAAAACTTGAGCAGGCCTGCATTGTTGTCCTCGCTCATAGGGAAGCTTTTTGACGAGACTCCAGGTACCACTCGAATACATTACAGCGATTGAAATGTGGAGACAGAAAATGAACCTTGACCGCATGGTGCTCCTGGGACATTCTCTCGGCGGCTTCGTATCTTCAGCGTACGCGCTCCGACATCCTTCGAGGATCAGACATCTGATTCTGGAAGATCCATGGGGATACGCCGAGTACGACCCAGACAGGAGGAGCAAGCTCCCGCTGTGGGCCCGGACTATTCTCGGGATGTTATCACACTTGAACGCCTTTTCGAGTGTTCGCGCTGCAGGACCGTATGGTGAGGCATGAATGAGCTGGCCGGTTGATCATGAGCTGACATCTCAATTGACCGTCTAATTTTTCTGCCCAATGCTTTGAACAAAATCGAGTAAAGGCGCTTCAACACAATGCCTTTCAAGGTTTCGGCATGATGAAAAAATCAATAAACCGTCGGCACCCGTACATGTCTGACTATTTCCCCGAGGCTCCCGATACGATGATCGAATATCTGTATCACTGCAACATGAGGCGGCCCACGTGAGTTCCTCTCGATTTCGTAGGATATTCCTGGAGAGATTCTGCTTAAAATATCCAGATTCCCTGAAACGGATATCCGCTGTCTGTTTTCAAGAATCCTCGACATTGCAGAGGTGAAGAGTTCTTCCGCAATATATGTGAGAGATTCGGTTTCACCAAGTATCCCCTCGTCAATCGGATGCATGAGCTATCCAAGGAGACGAAAATGACCTTCATCCACGGCTCCGAAACATTCATCCCGAGAACGCCAAGTTCGAAGGTTCAGAACCAACGGGGAGAGGATAATACGAAGATATACGTGAGTCGAATTCCCTTAAAAACCATTTCGATATTCAAGCAATCAGGGAATATATGAAACCGCAAGAGCCTGCGTCAAGTCCTAATTATATTGTCTTCGACGATCCCGAAGGTCATCGAAGGAGCGGGCCACACCATCCATCTCGAGAAGCCTCTTGAATTCAACAAGGTTGTTTTAGGAGCCCTCTCTGAGATAGGGGAGAATTGAAGAAGTGCGATCTCGATCGCGAAATCAAGCGTAGTTCTTCAGGAACTGTAGCTCCGATCTGTGATGCCTCCGTGATGGAACAGAATTGTAGGTGAACTTCCGCCACGGGCGGAATCCTGGAATGGGTCTCTTGAGACCGATTGTTCTTCTTTCGCACCGCTCGATATTGACGGCGCATCGAGCGATCTCCGGGACGGGGAGCAATATTTGAGCCCTGTTTGTAGACTTGACACTGCAGAATAAAGGAACGATCTTTCACAATGTCATGATGATGACAATGAGCTGAATATTTGGAGGAGATCCCGAACATCCACGAGTCCGCCTTGTCCTCAAGCTCTGGGGAGCCGACGCTACAATCACTCTATCCCTTTTCTGATCAGCTCCGGAAAATTACAGAAGAGCTTCATATTGTTCCTTTCCAATAAGGAGGCAGGCAGGCTATGTTTTGAAACCCCGTGCGTCTACGAGATCTCCCGAGAGAGCTTCAGGGAGATCCAAAGTTTTGTTCTTCACGATCATTCCGGACGAAGGATTAGGGGCTACTTTCTGATACTTCGAAAGATTCATTGAATCCGAATCCCAGCGCCCATCGGAACCATTGAACACCGCCAGGACAATTCAATCCAGATCTGCACGGAGTTTATGACAGGTGCTCATCGATATAGGACAACTTGGCCTCGGAGTGCAATACGTGAAGGTGTCCAGTTACAACTCCTCTTGGATGAGACCAAGATCGAGGTCATCGCTTGAAAACTTATGCAAAGCAAGTCATAGTTTCGTCTGATATTGTCCACTTTCGTAAGAGAGCTAATTATTTATACCACGTACAACTCAATAACTCGAGAGCTGAACATTACAATCATGCACTCGGCGTCGGGGTGAACTACCCAACGAACCTGACTTGCGGCTGATGCAGACCATCCGTGCCATTAATCGTTGACGAATAAAAAAATGTTTCCCCGTAAAATTGTCGTCTCATCTTAATACCTAATTCTATCTTCCTCGGGCGCTGACTTATGACCAGACGCGACCTCCAGGCTCAAGACATGACAACCATCGATAAGACCTCGATCCATGATCTGCTATCCGACGATTGCAGGTAAGCTCTTCACGAAAGCTGTCTCTCTCTCGCTCGACGGGGATTCCCCCGGTCGGAACAGCCAAGAAACGCTGGAGGTTGACCGGAGTCGGCGAATCGAGGACTTACAATTAGTATCTCTAGCAGCGGTACGGCTTTCCGTTCTGGGAAACGGCGTGCCTCCACGAAGCGGCGACTTCGTCCGGGCGTTGAGGGAATATCCATAAATGACTGCGGATTACTTCTCTCATCGGTGTCGCGGAGTTCCGTTCCCTCATAAAGAAGGTTCTCATCTGAGAGGTGGAAGAAAGCATATTCCAACCGACTACTCCCCATGGGGCTATCTCGGAGCCGCATCGTCTAGAGCTGTTCGCTGCGACAAGTCGGAGCGAACGCGACAAGTCGAACTCTGCACAACGTCACGATGACTCCCAGTTCATTGGTCGAATGCAAGAATATCAAGACAGGGGCTTCGGCGAGGAGGAGTCCACGATCGATCTCTCGATTGATTCTCCCTAGAATAACGCACAATCCTTTCTTGTCCTGGATTCTAGGAGAGCGGAGGACGCCGGATTAATGAATTCTTGTCACCCATGCTCCTTGTCTCCCACTACACCCCTAGGTGGCTCGTCTATCGCTTGGAGGAGCCTGAGCCCAGAAAATCCTCGTCCCATGGCAGTCGCTGAACCTGTGAGCATCAACAGCGCTCGAGGAGGGGTTTCGTCGTAATCTGCCTCTGTCTGAGGTGCTAGTTGCTAAGGGTACATCAGTAGAAATCAATGCCATCTCTTACGATACCTCGTGCAATTTACGGGATCGTAACTCCTGTTGAAGCAGATAGAGATCGATATCAGGACTTGTGGCTCAGATTGGTCGCTTGACGGTGCGCAGTCAAGTAATGGTCGCACGGCAAGTTTCCTCTCGAGATGGTCCAAGAGTTCGTCCTTTTTCACAATCGGAGAGAGGTCCTGGTGGTCACGTACCCATTCTTGCACTCGATCTATAAAAATGTAATTGATCGGCTATACGAACACACATACATACATACATTCATACATACATTCATACATACATACATACATACATACATACATACATACATACATACATACATACATACATACATACATACATACATACATACATACATACATACATACATACATACATACATACATACATACATACATACATACATACATACATACATACATACATACATACATACATACATACATACATACATACATACATACATACATACATACGAAATGAACGTGAGCGCACCTTCAAGTTCGAGCTTCTCGGCGATTTGGAGTGTCTTCCGGTGCCAAGCGACGAAGTCCCGCAAATCAGAGCTGAAGAGAAGAATTTATCATTCGGTGAATCGTTTTCTCGGTCTCGTCGCGACCTGGGTTCGTCAGCTTGATTGTCCCGATATCGACTCACTACTGTTGGAGGTACTTTCCCGAGCTCAAATAGGTCTTTGTAAGATCAGGATCTTCTGACGGCAGAGCGTAGGAACGCTTCCCTTCCTGTGGTATTACAGACATTCGATCGGCATCTGCGGAAGGTGAAGCCCTGAAGTTTGGGAACCAAATGGGATTAGATCAAAATCCAGCCTCACCAACTTACACTTGTTTCTTAGCGCGACCGAGCTCAAGCTCAAATCTGGGTGAGCGGGCTGCGTTTCATCGCTTTCTCTCAAATAACCTCGGAGTCCCCGGGTGGCGAAGAGAAGGCTGTTGCTCTCCAGGGGAACTTGCTCCGCTTTACGTAGTCCGGGAAGATAGTCATGAGTGACAATGAATACGGGCCTGAAGAAGGAACCTTTGGTGAAACCCAGTCTTCGCTCAATTCGCTTGTGCCGGGGAGTAGACTGTCGCTCTTGCGGTGAGTCGATAAAATGTAGGAGAGCCGTTGGACGCTTGCAGCTTTCTGTTCCGTGCTGGCCCCGGAAATCCCAATCTCTCAATCCATGTCAGTCAGGTAGGAGAGATGCAAATTGGGATTCGCGGGGCGATCAGATGAATTTGCGCTCGATTGTGCGATCGAACAACTTCCGCCGAACGAGCAGCTCGACGAGCAGCAGATGAGCGCGCTCTGGCTCCACGAGACTCCATGAAGTACCCCCGGAACCAAACGAGGATGTCGTATGCCCATCCCTAGCTCAGAGGGGTAACTTACCGCTGCCTCTCGAACTCTCTCATGCTTGGGGATACCAAATACAATCCGTCGATATCGGTCTCGAAGAACGGGCCATCCCCTCCTCGATGGTCGAGAGCGGCCAGCCATCCCGGGGTTGCTTTCGAGCTGCCGCTCCCAGAGCCCTCAATCCGTTGCTCGAGAAATTCGACGAGGTCTCTCTTTAGAGGAAGCCAATGTCCTTGTAATTGGATTCCACGCCTGTGGTCGTATCCAGCGAGCAAGTCAAGATACGGTAGTGTGAGTCGCTGATAACTCAGTGTCAGAGGGTTCAACACCCGGAAATTCTTCGAATACAGGACGTCAGAAATGAATTCAGAGATTTCCGTCGAAGTCAAGCGAATGAGGTCGTGATTCGCGCCGGACCGCGTCACAGCGACCCCATGCGTCAGGATTCTCGCAGCGTCAGTCCACTCCTGTAACTCTTCATCGAAGATCTCGTGCCAGCCTGTCCTGGTCCGCAACTTCAAGTTCTCTCCTCCCGTTAGAGTGAGATCGAGTAATCCTTGTTCGCTCACGACGATGTGATTTTCATCGATTGCCACGCTCTTCTCTCGTAGCCTCCACAGGAACTCGAAGTCGAGTGGAACGATTCGCTGAGGATCAACGACGACCTGATATGGGGCGAGCCACCCCTCGGCGATCAGTTCGATATCCTTCCCTGTGAATTTCCTTATCTGACCAGTGTAGTTAGTAGTGAAGTAAGTTTGCTTCTTGACTTCTTTCTTCAGAGTGTCGAAGAGAACTCGGAAATTGTGGCCTTTCTGCCTCCGCAGCCGGAAAGCCGGATTACCCGCTCTTGCGAACGGACGCCTTCCGGGAGACGCTCCGCCGCGAATCATGTTCGCAGAGTCCGATTCGGCCGGCCAATCGATACACCGCAATAACGTCCCAAGAACAACGGCACCCACCAGCAATTTGAGCGATCCGGCATTGGTTGGACCATGCCCTCGAAGCTCAGAATGGCCTAGGCGCGCGATAATTTGCAGCAGAAGGCTCCCGAGGAAAGCATGGTATAAGAAAGATTCGACTTCCATCGTTCTGGGTGAGAGGAGTTTTCGGCTGTTGTAGCCAGTATTCCCGCTTCGTCGTTCAACTAATGTGCGCTCAGCAAGCTTCAGAACGTCTACTTCTACTGGAAATTCCGAGGGCGGAAAGACTCTCGGAGGCCGAGCGCCTACCAATCCCCACTGCGCATTCGGACTTCAATAATCAAGTGGCGTCTTTTATTTTCCGACGGGACTGAATCGCTCCCTACCATACTAAAACTTGCAACCAACCAACCACCAACCCACCAACTTGACCCATGCATCTTACTTGCATCGTCGTAAAAGGACGCTCGAGAACGAGAGGCCAATCGAGAGAATGATGAGCTCTATCGGCGGAGCTCTCGACTCTCGAGTTTCTCAAGCCCCGGTCAGGCGGTTCAATGCGAATCGAACATATGAGGAGTAGTTTCACCGAAATATGGATGTGAGCACTATCGTGGGGGAATCTTCCTGAGACTATTCTATGCAGGTAATCCAAGTCTCGCGCCTGCAAGTCGATAGGTAGCAGACTCCTAATCCGAGAATAAACAGTTCGTCCAGGGCGGTCATCTCGAAAGTCGCATGCCTATTGATCGTTCGAAATCTGCGGAATTCTACTCATTAGGACGTACAGGCCCCACGGCACACTGAGCGACATTCGATCTCGTTTCGATCCCAACATGGAAGTTTCATAGACATCCTTCCTGGTGACCGGCAGAAAACTGGTGTAAGATACGCTCTCGTCTCGCGCGCAGATGCTCCCACAAGATGGGGCTGCCTAGATCTAGAAAGTGAATGAAGTTTCTGTGATCCTACAGTGCAGTGCGGACAGATGTCGAGCTCAGACGATATTCGAGTGAGTTTCCGAGTCCGAGCACGTCTTCTAGGCCCCACACTGCTTCCTTGAAATAATTCGATGATTTACCCCCCGAACAAAGTCCGCAGATCTAGCGAGTATATCGGACGACACGCGGGATTCGCCGACTGCGGGACCTGCTGTCGATGAACCGAGGACCCGCAAATCTCTGACTCAGTCACGATCAGAAAAAGTTTCATCGGCCGACTATGGGAGCCCTCCCGCAGGGAAGTTGCCGAGTGCTGAAACACCGAGCCTTGCCAGAGGGTTCTTCAGGCCGGCGAATCGCCGCGACATCAGTGGTGTATCCCTCGCTGAAGCGTTGAGCTCCCAAAGAACGACACTGGAGAAGCAAGCTTTTCCTTACGGTTACGCTCCCAGTCAATCTATCGAGAAAAGACTCGAGAGTGACCGTCCGTGGTCGAAACTGTTCTTCCTCGTTCCTGCCATTGTGTTGATTGTCGCTTTCTTCTCGATGGGTGAGTGAACGCTCTTCATGATGAACGAGAGCAGGGGCTCCGTCGGAATCCCTTGCCCCGAAGGAAGATGTGTTTGCAGGCTCTCCTTCCAGGAGATCCTAGTTATCGCTTCATTCATCGGGAGGGGGGGAGGGTCATATGAGCCAGTCTAGCCTCCGGTGGGAACGGTTTTCTGAAATCGAAGTATCTCGATAACAGGTGGCTTCCGCTGCTCGAAAGCCGAGTTGGAATTCTGTGAGGGAGGAGGTGCAAAGGAATGTCGGCGAGTGAACGACTCCGAATTCGAGTGTATTTGCGCCAATAAATCAGCTAAATTCTTCGAGGGAGAATGTAAAATTTTCACGACGCCAATCGCTACAGTCGCGGAGATCGTCTCAAGGATCTGTGAGTTGGACCGGGAATCTATCCTCACCAAGAATGGCGACATAGCGACTCGAAGCTCTCCAACCATTCTGATTTCCAATTAAAGCCGGGTATTCCGGAGCTCCGAAATCTTGCGCGCGGATTCTGCAAGACTTCTGCCAAGAACGTCAACCGCTGAATTTCTGTGCGGGTCGAGTGCCGCAGCCTTTATGTTCGCCCGGTAAGCTCGGGACTTCCGATATCGATCCGTATACAATCATACGGAGGACAATGCGAGCGCTTCTGTCGCGTCAGGTCGCACTATCTGGAAAATTTACTACCCCGCAACGAATTCCAAGCGGCGAGTCTCGAGCGTGAAGCTGACGTTTGGGTTCTTCTTCCACAGATGCGGCACACCCTCTAAGTCTTGATTCGAAAGCAACCGCGTGGTACCCGTGCTTTGCAGGACTCGTCGATTGCGAGTCGAATGAAAGTCATTGCATATTGAGGTGCGATCGATATTGTCAGCTGCCCTTCGGTGACGGCTGCCCGTGCGACAATGGTCGCGTCACGATCCAGCAGCACTGTGCGTCCCATGTGCGTCGCTGTAAGTTTATTCCTTAGTCGGGGACCCCAGAGCAGAAGTTTGTGCGGCAGTCTCCAAGACTGGAAAAGCCGTCATCCGGGGTCCTCCCTTAATTTTTTATCGTATTCCAGTTGATGGGGAGCCATGCAGAAGCAAGCCTTCTTTCCTGAACTCATTTTATCCCGCTTGGAACCACAGGCTGAGACTCTGGCTCCAGGAAAAGGCGGAGAAAATTTGGATCAAACACTCTCATGAGCGTGCGCTTAGAATGCATGCGGAGGAATTCGGAGGCTTGTTGGATTGGAATCCGCCGACGCTCCAAACTTTCTTCGAAGAGACCAGACTTATGCTAAATTTTGGGACTCCCACCGTTGACAAATGCCAAAAATTCGGGTGGTTCTTCGCTGGGATGTTGTTTGTGGCGCATGAAGGTTTCAGCTTTCAGAGGGAAGAATGGATACGTCAGAAATCACATCTACCGCTGGAGGCTGTTCGGATGGTGGAGAAACCGGCTCGATATCGAACGATTTTCTTGCCCGTGAGCCGTGTGTCCGACGATGACGATTGTGCCGTGGATCCGAGATCATGGTCGAGTGCGCATAATCACGATGCCCTATTCACGTTGAATCCGCCCATGGTTTCGTTCCTGCAAGATGCACTCGCTCCGGGAAACGTCAGCCATGGAGTTAGCTGGTATTCGATGAACTTCGCGGAGAAGAATAAGCTCCGGGCTGTACTGTGCTCGAATCCGGCGGATCTTATGGAGTGCGAGTAAGTTACACCCCTCTTCCGTAAATCAGGCTCGAGCGGCTTAGCTCTCCCTCCATCCCAGTCAAGGGCCGGGTTCGGGAAAATCGAAATGACACTCTCGGAAGAATTGATGAGAGGAATCATTCGTCGCATCAGCTCGATTCCGCAGGCGTGAAATATTTTGGAGGTTCCGAGGCTATTTCGTGATGAATCAGAATGAGGTGACGTTTATGCGAACCCTGGGAGAAGACGCGGGAGGGACGGATCAGCGAGTTACTCTGTCGGACGAGTTCTATTGGCTCTCCAGATTGATGATGTTGTACCCTGATGTGAGTTTCACTCAGTTTCCTGAAACCTTATCCGAGATCTGGAGACTGTGACGTGGGTACTCAGCGCGTCAAACTTTGATGTGAGGAGGAGCATGCATTCCTCCAGTCTACTCAGGACGCTGATCGCAGAATCATGGACAGAGAAATATCTTGCAGCCGACAGCCGACAGAGGGGACACGAACCTTCTGCCCCGGATGGAGGACTTGCGAGCCTTTATCAAAACCTGCGTTTTCGGAGAAGACGGCTCGGAAGTAAAGTTTGCAGACTGATCCCCCAAAGGCGAGAACGCTCTGACTCGATCCTCGGTCTCGTCTGTGAGCTGCCCACACTCTTGGAAGTGGAGGTGCGGCCGTGTTCTATCGAAACGCTCGGAACGGCGAGCGGGATTTTCATGAAGCCGAAGGCTACCTTCCGGGTCGATCGAACTACATTCGTATTCGTTAGTAGACTGGAGATGAATGATATGATGATTTAATATATATAAACTGATTAATGTATTTGATTGTGTATTCAGCTCGAGGAATGTTAGAACGCCTTCTAGAACAAGAATTAACGGAGCGATGCATTGTGCTCCACTAATGTACCGGGAGGCCCGGGATGGAATCTCCTCACATGGGGGTAGGATACAGCACAGCGATGAGATTCGAGCCATTACTCCCGTGTCGAGCTGTACCAAAAGCATCGAAAAATGAGAGGGAAGAACTCATTACCACGCCAGAGATCGATCCAGCTGGATCGAGGCGTTCAAGATCGGAAGACGAGCTGCGAATGCGAAACCCCTTAATGTTGACCCGGTGGTCACCTAACTCACTCAGGCAGCGGAATATCGAGTTGTAAATTCATCGTCGAGGTGTCGTCCGACATGCCCAAATGCTTCCAACAATTGAACTCTAACAACATTTGCTCTCTACCACGCTGCATAGTCGTCATAGTTGGCGTAAGCACGTCATCAGGCTGCCCGAAGAAGGCTGAGGATGTGGATATTTGTGTAGATTGCTGTGATCACAAAGTGCGACCCTTTGGTGACAGAATCGACACGCCGAGCCTCTGCACTTCGTGCTGCGACCGTATCCAAACCGACCCTTTGGTTCAAGTGCTCATAATTGATGAGGATGGGGTGGAGAAATCATCATCGCATCAACTCGCTCTGAGGAACTCCAGAACGAATCGCCACGGGTGGAATGGACAAAGTATTCAGCAGTGATATATGAGGTAGTTGACGCCTTTCAAGTAAATTAGGTTGTCCTTAAAATCTTCGAAGCGTTCGGTTGACGAGCTGATTAAACTTGTGGCGGCAGCAGGGGTGAAAGATCCCCAGGAACGTCGTGAGGTTAGGGGGACAAACGGCGACGTTGATCAAGACGGCTTTGGCTTACCGGAAATGCGGGATCGAGGTCCTAGCTCAGACTCCGTACACGTGCCTCCGACCGTGATGAGATGAGGCTCCGCTGTCGTGAGCCCAAGCACAAGCTGGGTGAACGAGGCCCGATCGTCTCACGTCCCGAATACAGAGTCAAATTCTGGGGCTCGGACTCCCGAAGGTTGCCTTTAGCAACTCTTCTCGGGGGTTGTAACGTCATAACACCATGTTTTCTCAAACGGTGACGATATGATCCGTGGCCGCTTGCGGCGTTTTTGTTTCTCGTTGAAGACCGGCCCGAAGCATCAGTTCGATGCCCTGTCAATTCCGCAATTTGAGTCGCTCTTCAACTTCGAGCGTCGGCGAAGATTGCTACTTCAACCACAAAAATTTGGATCCGAATCGGTGTCTCATCGCTACGGAATTCGTGCGCTGGTTGCTTGGACCGATTCGATTTGACCGCATCTCTCTGCAAATGACGGTCATTCGCGAATTAGATAAGTCCATGAAAACTTACACGAAGACTGCTCCAACAAAACTCCTTGGGCTTCACGGGGTACCGCACGTTCCGATTCATGGTCCCATTCCTGAAGGATCTGAATCGAACTTTAGAATGAAGCAACCGAGCCGCCGCCAAGCTGATCCTCGTCTTTTCCTTCTCATCGATCTCCACTGAAGGCTGGTCACTTTCTCGAATCTTCCGCACGGCGCAGCGGCAATACATGCTGAAATCGGACAATGACAAGCTCTATCGATGAATGGGATCCCCTCTCCACTGGCTCCTTGATTCAAGTAAAGTGCTACCGGTTTCGGGGCGAACAAGCTTGACATTGGTAAGCGACGTAATCCTTCAGCCATTCTTTGTGCGTAATTCACTTGACAATGAATCCCGGAAAGTCGATGCCCCTATTTGAAGCCTTTCGCATTTCAAGCTTCGAATTCCACGCTGCTCCGACACGCGTCCAGTGAACTCTGATTCAAGCCCGTGGAACGATTCTATTCTCTCAATGCAAAAGCGTCCCTTCAGGCAGGACCATAGAGCGCTGTCGTATCTGAGGTTGGTCCGGCTGAGCAGTGGACAGCGGCTCAATCGAAAAGCAATTTACTCATCGGAGCTAAGCTAAAGAATTCTGAGACTCTTCTGCATCGGACCCCTCGTATTTTGACTTGCTGTTCTCCATTTGCCCGTCTCGGAAATCTCCAAGGCCAGGTTTCTCTTCGACGCGGCATTCCGAAATTGAGCTTTGCGAGGAAATTCATCGAACAAGCAGCAGTATCCCGGTGGGCTGCAATCGCTGACGGGAGGTTAGACGAAGAACTCCCCTAGCTGTGGTTGCGGAAGAATGCAGATCCGAGGCTGCTTTTGCTTTCCTAGGAAATGGTCCGGAGTTGAAACGGCATGCGTATGCAGATCGGGAAGAATCGAGCTGCGAATCTTGGGAAGGAAGCGAAATGTGAGCTTCCTTGAAATCGTACTCACGTCCAAGAGTCCCTCTCACCTTTCTTCTCCGCTGAAAGCCGTTCGATCCCGCGATCGGACAAGCCGTTGACTGCATTCTCCATCGTCCGCACGGATGAGTGCTTGATGAAGACGAAGAGGGACGGGATTTTATTATTTTTCTCTCGATGAAATCCGAAGCCGTCAAACGAATCGAATGATTATGATCGATGAGGCGATGATGTCAACACCGAAATTTCCGTTAGTCTAAAGCTCGTACGCGAAGCGATCGTCCGTCGACCGGATCCTCTTCGTTTCGCCTTTGTCAGCCGCGGAGCCCGCATCATATGTACAGCGATCGATTCCTCCATCCGCCTTCGAATTCCGTCATTCCTCCGCATATGTATACATCAAGCCACGAGTCATTCAATCCATCTTTCTCTTCTCTATTATCTGAGGATCATCATTCGGATCCAGTTTTGGCGATGGAAGCCACGTTATTAATTCTCCAATCTACGTCGCGTCGTGCTTGACGCGCGAGTGAGTGAGCAGACCCTACGCTACGGAGGCTTACAGACCTTAAGATTTGAGAAATTGTACTTCGCGCCACGCTATCAAGCCTCTTCGGGATGTGCCGACTGAGGAGGAGATTCCTGTCCAATCCTTATTCTATCCCGTGCTGTCCCGGATTCCAAGATATGATACTATCCAAGCTTCAACGCTCCCAATCCGAACGATGCGTTGCCCACGGGCGTCCCCAGAAGCACCCTCATTCATTTTCTGACACCGGAAGCAGGGGCGGGCGACATCTCTTCGAGTCGTTACGAGCGGCACCTTTGCGGCAACGCACACGAGGAGCCAGATTTCTGACCGTTCGACCAATCCGACGGTCATCCCCATTTGTCGACCGTGATCGATTGCCGATTGAATTTCTGGGGAGGTCTCTCCTGCTCTGTTGAACAGCTTTAGCCCTTCGAAGATCAACGAAGAGCATCCTTGCGACGCATAAAAACGATAGGATGCGTAAAATATCTCTGGATAGAGGTCCCCGACGAGGATTCGAGACAGAGCTGCCCAGATCTTGGCATCTCGAATATTATAAGAGATCATCGAACGCTCTGCCGAAATCAGATGCCCTTGACTCTACACGCATTTCACTTATCGGATTATCGCTGGGTCGTTCTTGATTCCAGCTCATTGACGAACTCAGAACAGCAATTAGTTCAGGAAGCATTGACAGCCCTCGATCATATTATGGGCCGGTTGCAGAGCTGAGCTCTCATATTACATAATTATTCTTGCAGGCGGACCCGTCAAATCCATTGCCAAAGGCGCGGACCCTTAGTGGTTTAGGCCAGAACGAATATACGGATCCAGACCCCCGTTGAGCAAAGACTTGTATATGCCATTGGCAAGTGAAATGTTTTGACTACGGAAACAGTGACGACAGCCTTCTCGAAGCATGACGCTCTTATTCGCCCCACGATTCACGGGCAACCTTCTTCGATGACACTCCGCAATTGTTGATTCGGGATCACGAGGCGAACAGGGACGTTTCGTGTCAAGGACTCTCCAGGGAACGTTCCCCCATTCCCGCCGGCATTTCTTCCCACGACCAAAACGTCTCTCTGGATTCATATTTTCCGTTGATTCATCTTCAAGTACGTATCCAGAGGTTGTCGATCCACGTTTCGTCATGAGGAAACAAGGGCACTTCTGATGCGCGAACGCTTTCAGTAGGATGCGGCTCCATCGGTGGACCACCGAGGAGAAGACAATCCTCTCCCGGATTCTCGTTTTCAATATCAAACCGCAGCGCCGGAAGCTGTAGGGAGATTACCGGTCCGCGTTTTTTTTCAATTTGCTACTCTTGATGTACCGAAGGACAGAAGCTTTTTTATGAACGATCGATCATGGGATCTGTACCTCGTCGAGGCGGACCCGTGGTGGCGGAATTCTGTCACCAGACCGTTGGTCTGATATTTCGAGTTCACACTGTAGAATCTTCGCGGGAAGCGTCGGAATTCCATTCACCAGCTCATCCATCTCTTCTCTCTACGCACGTCTTTTTTTGCCGGGGATAACCAAGTCGAGCTCGCTGAATCCCGACAGAAAAAAAGTCATACCGATAAAGCACTCTGATATAACTGCCTGAGTCGTCGACGTTCTTTCGCAGAACAATTCCGTACGGTCCACTGAGTCAAAGTACATCTAGACTTTCCCGGTCGTTCAATTGTTTTTGATGTAACGAACCGCATTCATTTGTGACACTTGTGCCCCAGCGTCTCTTCGCCAGAGCCGTTTGCTATTCCGGTTGAGCCAAAAAGTATTTCGGTAAGCGAGCCCGGTTGTAGAGTCGAAAGCGATCGCTTTCTGTCAGCTGAGATCTTGGCCGGGTACCACAGGGTTAGAACACGACGCTTCCTGGTCGTTCTCTAGAGGGGAGCTGAAGTCATCAACCGAGGCGTCTTAGTATCCGTCGGTGCCCCAATGCCGAGTTGTAGTGGCTCGAGGAAGCACCGAGAAGAGGCCGCTCATCTACTTAAGCTGGAGACCCATGTCAAGATTGAGATACTTTCATAGCGCTGAATTTTTCCCTAGCAAAGCTTCGTGGCATATGCGTAGAGCACGGAAAATTCCCTTTAGAAAGCTGTCAAGTCGATAGATTTGGACAATGCTCTTTGTTTTTCTTCTAGGATTTTTCGGCAAGGCGATGCTTGACAGCTTCTGTCTACTCTTGTTTCTTGACGGGGAGGGATTTCCCGATTCCTTTTCACACGCCTTCCTGGCGATTCCCGAATGACACGTCCCAGGCCATGTCTGAGCTCGTAAGGTCTTGATTCTCCCCCGTCCATCTCAGGGTACATCCATACGGGGAACTCGCCGACGGAAGCTGCGTGGATGAGAGCTCTGGAGCTCGAGAATTTTTTGGAAGATCGGGTGCCGAGTTCGCGTAAGGCGTTATTGGGAAACTCTCAGGGAACTCACTCTGTTTGCAAGACGTCATTTCCGTATCGGAGTCCGGCGGAAACTTCGATTCGGAGGTGATGACATAATGGTGGAGAATAATGAGTAATGATAATAATTATAGGAAATACCAATCTGATCGAGACTTTGTCGCCGCAGGGGAAGATCTTCT